ACTGCAACGATAGGACAAGGAGTAATGCAGGAGTTTGCGTACAAGGAGGCGATGTCATTATTATTTCGTGAATGTCTCGTGACTGTCTTTTATTATTTATCTTTTATACACAGCTATTATAAGCGTCCACTTATTATTGGTTAACTACTATTACTAGCCTGTCTTACACACAGTATAATTGGTTATTAACATATCAATCATAAAATGCCTAATCATTATTCTCCACCCCTAACTATCTTCAGCTCCTGCATCCCACAGCCAGGAGCTGCTTATCTTGCTGCCTTCTTTCTCACATTCCAGCTGCAGCAGCATCCTTCAACAGCTTGGCTTGCAGCTTGCTTAGGCCCTGATAGCAAAGCTGGATTGCTCACATGTCCATTAGCAATCAGAAATTCTCACACAGGTTCAGATTGAAGGAGGTAAAGTTTAGGTTAGATATTAGGAAAAAAGCTTTTTACTGTTAGGGTGATGAGACACTGGCACAGGTTGCACAGGGACATAGTAGCTGCCCCAACGCTGGCCATGTTCAAGGCCAGGCTGGATGAAGCCTTGAGCAACCTGATATAGTGAGGTGGTGTCCCTGCCCATGGCAGGGCGGGTTGGTACTAGATTATCTGTAAAGTCTATTCCAACCCCTAAAATTCTATGGTTCTATGACACCAAGCTGTGTGCTGCAGTCAACATGCTGGAGGGGAGGGATAGGCCATCCTGAGGGACTGTAATAGGCTTGAGCACTGGGCTAGTGTGAGCAAGACCCAAGTGTGTGGTCCTGCATCTGATTCAGGCACAAATACAGGCTGAATGGAGAATTAATTAAGAGCAGCTATGCTGAGAAGGACTTTGGGTGTTGGTGGACAAGGAGCTCAACATGACCCAGCAATGTGTGCTTGCAGCCCAGAAAGCCAGCTGCATCCTGGGCTATGTCAAAAGAAGCAAGGCAGCAGACTGAGGGAGGTGATGGTTGAGATGATCTTAAAGGTTCCCTTCCAACCCAAACCATTCTGTGGTTCTGTGAAAGTCTGTGTTCTAAAATAATAACAGTATGTGGCATGTTCTTCCAGTTGTAGAGATCAACTGTTGATCACCAGCCAAATCATACAGCATTAAGGAGATAAAATGTGCCTAAATTAATTTCTAATACTAAAGTCTTTCAAATATAAATTTATGGGTTTTTAAATATATACCTGTATTTTGCAGATTAAAGGAACAAAGGGACAGGTAACACGGGCAGAAATTCTTCAAGAAGGCCTTCGGGAATTACTGAATGCTCTCTTCTCTAACCCTGTGGACAGTAATTTGATATGTGCAGTGAAACTGCTGAAGGTGAGACACTAGTTTTAAAAGACAAAAATAATAAGGTTTTTTTACCTCCCTAGCCTTGGGAACAGTGAGGTAAGCTGCAAATGAGGAAGTATTTATAGCGTTTTATGCATTACATCACTGGCAGAGAAAACAGTACTTTTTTGTATTCCTTAGTAACATTGCAAAATTGAGCCAGTAGCAAAAATAATGCGATGCTCTAAAAGTTAAATGCAAGGCCATTTGTATACATACTAGAGCCACAGAACTGAATCTAAGGTGCAAAGGAGTCAGCAGTCCCTTCAGGTCTCCTTTTGCTGCTTCTGATGTGGGAGAAAACTAAGCAGCTTGAAGGAATTATGGGATTTTGGATATGCTCTGTGTTGTGAAGCCATTAGGGTCCACCACTTTTTGCAGCACAAGGTTCTTGATGCCAGTGAGTTCATTGTATATGACCTGTGTCATTACTACTGTAGAAATACATGTATTTCTCTTTCATGATGAAAACAAACCTCTTTGCTTCTTATAGTTTTACTTTCTCATTAAAAAATTTGTTAGGCTCTAAGCATGGAGAAACTTTTGTCTTCACTAGGTAATGTTATACTCTTAGTGGAGACAATAGTTTATTATGGGAGTGTGGGTTAAGTGCTAAACAATTATTTTCTGTAGTTTTTTGAGTTTCATGGTTGGTTTGTTTGCTTTTCCTCATTCTTTCCCCTTCCTCACGCTCCACTATTTTTCAGATTCTTCTATCTTGAACTTCAGTTCTGACAGCTGCTTTTGGTGTGGTAAATAGAGAATAGGGAAGAGAGATTTTTACATTTGCAACTTAAAGCCTTCATTTGAAGTTTGGATGTTTAAGCAGGTTACTTCATAGCAAGTGTGAGATTGTGCTCAATGAGCACTGCCCACTCCTGTGGTCAGTCCCTCTGTCGGCAGTGCTTCCCTGAGACAGGGCCCAGTGAAGGGTCTTTTCAAAAAGGCAATACCCAGATCAGGAAGCAAACAAATGCTCAGCAAGATACTTGCTATTATCTTTGGATTTTATTCCTTTGTATCATCAGATACTATTCCAAGCATTTCAGATCATCTAATATTTATGTCAAGGAGATCAGGAATTGCTATTTATTTTGACCATAGTGGCAAACTATTTTTTTCTGGTTTAACTCCTACTGTGCAATTACAGGGCAATGAAGTAGCTATTCCTGTAGTAAAAGGCTTTCATCCAGAGCAGTTCTAGACTGACTGCTGCCAAAGCTTTCTCAGCAGCAATTTTAGCCTCACAGATTTTTATGTATTAAAGTTCAAGGTGTCTTGGTCAGATAATTCTGATCTCCTTTGTATACACCCAGATGAAATTCTCTGGCATGTATGATGCTAGCCAAGTTGCCTGAAGTGTTTCTAGAGTTTGTTGAACTGTTTGTTATTCTCAAGTAGGCTGGTGGCATCATCTGCAAAAATAAGTTCTCCTTTTTTATAATATGTACTTAAGTAAGATCTGACCAATGTCACTGAGGAGCTGTTTCAAACTCATACTTCAAGACTGAAAGAAGTGGCTGTGAACTTCTAGGTAACATAAACATTGGGCGTAGAGCTACTATACTGCCTGTAGTTTAAAATAAACTATTTACAGGTCTGTTAATCTACTTAGCAGAGAGATGTAGGCAGTTGGGAGCTTCAGCCCTCAGGCAGTCACACAGTCCGTCTTAAGTGTCATGAATTGCTACAGACTCTCTTCAGTTGACAGTTTATTAAGGTTTTGTAATTTTCTCTGAAATAACATTGGGCGTAGAGCTACTATACTGCCTGTAGTTTAAAATAAACTATTTACAGGTCTGTTAATCTACTTAGCAGAGAGATGTAGGCAGTTGGGAGCTTCAGCCCTCAGGCAGTCACACAGTCCGTCTTAAGTGTCATGAATTGCTACAGACTCTCTTCAGTTGACAGTTTATTAAGGTTTTGTAATTTTCTCTGAAATAAAACCTAATCCCTTGTCTTTAGTTGACAGGCTCTAGAAGATGCGATGCCTGGAAAGACAAGGGAAAGAATGATATGGAAGAAATGATTCAGAGAATTGAAAATGTTGTGTTGGATGCAAACTGTAGCAGGTGAGAAGATAAATTTTTGTGCAGTGTTTTGTTTATATTAGACAGAACACCTTGAAAATCTTCAAGAATAATGAACAGGTCCAAAGAATTGCCTAAAAAACTTCTGTTTAGGGAAAGTAAGTGTCATGACCCAACATTTGGGTCATTTCTCATGTGAAAAAAGGTATTTTTTTAGTTGAAGGGATGTGTGGATTTTTTGGTAGTTGGGTAGTTTTTGTTTTGTGGGGGTTTTTTGTATTTTGTCTTTTAATAAAGATGCATGTTCCACTTTATTTTCTTTTTAACCTTTTAGGTCTTGAAATCTTCCATAGGTGCTTTAGGCTCTACAAGCAAGTATATCTACAAAGAGACAATGGTGGCAGTGTTTCACAGTTTATACTTTTAGATCTGAATTTAACAGGATTAAGTATATACAAACAGTATTAAATATGTGGCAGTATTAAATATCTACAAATGACTATAAATATAAAGGCAAAATGAAATACGCTTTGTGGTTTGGGTTTTTTTCTGGAGAGCATACCTTTTTGACAAGGTCTTAACTGCAATCTAAGAACAAACAAGTGGTTGACTAATGCAATCAACTGCATGCATGGGGTTATCTGATTCTGCTGTGCTTCATCCTCAGCTGCTGCAGACTTACTAAAAACCTGTAGAAGGTTCTGACACTGTGACCTGATTTCTTGCCGTGTGGAGGGAGGCCAAGAGGTAGTCTGTAGCCTCCGTAGGTTGTAATTGAGCTGCCCCCAAGGAGGGTGAGGAACATGCTGCTTTAGGAACCAGAGAAATTGGTGGCACAAGCTGAGGCTTCAAAGACACAGAAGAAAAACCTTGTTTCAATAGAGAAAACAACTGAAATTTTTATGTGTTCCTAATGTGACTCTTCTCCATAGACTTGCTTAAAAGAAGATGGTAATCCCTCTTATTTTAGGGATGAAATGGGTGCTGTTATCTAATGTTGACTACATTACTTGTCACTGTTGACTACAATATTCTGTATGATGAGGAAGACTAAAGTTAGGAGTGTAGAATAGATGACTAAAATACAATTTGACTAGCATACCCCTCTTTTTCTCAGTATTATCCTTTTCTCAGAAAAGGATTTGTTCCTCAGCTTGTGCTGCAAGGTGTGGTACCGCAATAAAAACCATAACAATTTCCTTTTTCATATGAGCTTCTTAGTTGACCCCAGAGGAAATGGAGAGGGTGAGCATCTCATAATCGACGCATAAAACATCTAGACTTGCAGGTGGAAAACTTAACTCGAAATTATGTGCTGATTGGACCAAATTTTGTCCCTTTTAGGCCTTTTTTGAAGGGATTTAATGATCTAATAATTCCACAAGAGAAGCTGAAGTTCTTGCTTGGCACTAAACACTCTAACTTTTGTGGCTCTTCTCTTTTTTCAGAGATGTGAAACATACGCTTCTGAAACTAGTAGAACTACGATCAAGTAACTGGGGTAGAGTTCATGGAACAACTCCACACACAGAAGCTACCCCTGAAAATGACCCAAACTACTTTATGGTAAGAATATATGGGCATTTCCTTGCCTTAATTTAATGTGAATTCAATTTGATTCGTAGCAAATCACATTACTTAGAACTACAAACAGCTGTCTCTCTGAATACATATAACTTTCTGTATGACTCTTATCTTAGAATGAGCCAACGTTTTACACTTCTGATGGTGTTCCTTTCACTGCAGCAGACCCAGGTATGTCACAAATTTAGTATACCTGTCTTCCCAGTCTTCTTTAAAAAGTCATAATTAAGTTCGTGGCCTGTCAAAGTACATAAAATGATGTTCTTCACACATCTGAAACTTACACAACTTAAAAGTCAAAATTCTGTCTGAATTCCTGGTTTTGTGGAACACATGCCTTATTCTGCATTAAAAGAAGGTAGATGTTTGAGATGAAGAACATGCATTTGAGTTCATATAGTTCAAAAGAATTTGTGCAATAGTTCTCAGCACTTGGTCTCTCCAGGAAGCCAGAAATATTCTTTCGTTTGTCCGTGGTTAGTAGCAAAAGGGATTTTCTTCCTTGGTTTCTCTGTAATCTGAGCAGAATGTAGCATGACATCATTTGGGGTAAAGACATCTGTGACTACCTTTACAGTTCTGTGGGAAGGTAGATATTGCTCTTAGAGGTCCATTCATGTCCTGAGTAAACTTTGTAGAAGGAGTTTTTCCTGTTAATATGTTTGATGCCTTATATGGTTTCATTAATTAGGCTATTTTCAAACTATAGATACATGCTAATTTAGAGGATTAGTCTTACATATTAGTCTCATTTTTACTTTGCCAGATTATCATGAAAAATATCAAGAACTACTTGAAAGAGAGGATTTGTTTCCATATTATGAAGAAAATGGAGCAGATCTATCAGGACCTGGAGATTTGTATGTTTTCTTTTTTAGTGCTGTATTTTTTTAGTAGTAGTTATTTTTGCTGTGATTCTGTGATACTGCAGACTTGGGATTTCAGTCTTGACAAAAATGAAACTAATATAATTGTTATTTAGTTCTACAGTGAATGTGTTGCTTGAGTGTAAATTGGCCTGTAATCACACAAGTTAGAAACCAATTTTGTATTCATCCAGTTGAGTAGGGTAATTGCATTTCAGATATTTATGCGCATGTACAAACATACTTCTGCATTTAAAAAAAAAAAAAACAAACCTGCAGACAAAATGAAGTACCAAGCCTGCAGGTGTTTGTAGTGAGGCAACCAAAATTCATTTGACTGATGTGCATAAACATCCAGCTAGAGATGATTACAGAATTTTCAGTCTCTCAAAGGGAGGAGGTTGTTAAGTTTCTCTCCTTGGTATAAGCAGTATTCCCCTCAATTAAAGGGCTATTCAGCATTCCTGTAGAACAAGAAAAGCAACCTATTGGCAAAGGAGGAAGCAGTGGATAAGAATCTAGTCTGACTTTCTGGAACCGGTTTATGAGAATTTAAGAGGAAACCAGTAGAAGAAATATAGTCTAAGATAAATTGCTCTGAGCTTTGTATTCACCTCATTGGAGGAGGACTTGCAGAGCATCGTTTAACACCCAAGAACATTTTCAGTGTAGTGTTTATTTGTGATAAGAGTGCAGGCTTGTGTTTATATTTTTGTTAATAAAGTTAGAAAACTTTTAGATGTTACCTAGCTGAGAGGAGTGGTAAGAACTTTGGAAGATAAATCAGAGATGTCATCAGAAACCAACAAGCTCATACTGAGGAGAGGACCCATGTGAACCTTTGTGCTTAGAAGAATAAATGCAAATTGTAGACAGACACCAGTCAAAAAAACACAGCAAATCCAAAGACTGACATGTAGAACATTCTGAGTCAACCTTCAAGCAAGGTGACTGTGTAACCCTCTTTGTCAAAGGCTTAAGAAAAGCTTAGGCAAATGTATGCTGACTCTCTGTCAGCTCTTTCTCATGATTGACATCAGGGAGGAGAGTTCTGTGTTAAGTCACTTCTGAAGCCTACACTTTTACACAAAAGAAGGAACAAATAAAATAAATATGTAGGCTGCTTCCTCAGTCACAACTCTGAAGAAAAGTATTTTTTCTGTAGCTTGCTGTGATTTTGTGTGAGACATAGCATCTGTGGCCTCTGTGGAGGTGAGAGATGCCAATTCCCTTGTTTAGAACTAAGGCACAGAAGGTAAAAAATTGAGCATTAATTGATGCACACTTCTGGAGAGTCAGTAAATGCTGACTGGTATTTCTAAGGCTGTTTAGAAGTTACATACACTACAATTAGTTTAGAATTTCATGCATTATCATGTTTGACCTATAACTCCATTGTCCTAATCTATGGTTATGACCATTACAGTTGGACATGGAGAAAACAAGGGACACAAAAGTTGTTTCCCAATAACTGTGATGAGAAATAAAACTGAAGTGATGCCTGTCAATTCCCAGCTTTGTTTTGAAACACTGGTTGTATCCACTGTGTGCTATAGGTATTAGCATAAAGGGGATCCAGTCTTTTCTGTGACCTAAGACTGTATAATACAAGGTACTATAAAACAGATGCAATAGGGAGACTCCTTTTATATTTCAGAAAACAGGACTGCAGGGTTTCCATATAAACATATTCCTTCACTACTGTGTAACCAAGGCAGTTGATGCAGTGTGTGAACTAGGATGTTGACCAGTCAAAAGTTAGGTTAATATGTAGGTCGTTACGTTTTTTGTAAGTAGATCAGTACAGATGCATTATTAAATTTTTGTAAGCTTAAATTGCATTATTGCGTCTTCTGTCATCTTAAGCACTATTTCTGTCTTTTACCTGTGGACAGCACAATATAATCAGAAAGGTGGCACTGTAGGCATTTGTACATATCTATGCTGCTTTGACATTTCTGTTTATTTGTTTACCTAGTACTATTATTTTTAACTCTTAATTCTTTTTAACAAAATGTCACAAATAACTGCCATTTAGAAAGCTTTGTTTTATTCTTGACATCTACACAAATGGTTCTGAAAATCTGTATGTAAACTTAACACCTTTGTTTTTCCTTAGGTATTTTGATGAGGTTGATGATGAGATGGATCCAGAAATTGAAGAAGCCTTTGAAAAATTCTGTCTAGAATCAGAGCACAAGAGAAAACAATGAGATGTTACACACTAATGTTAGTTTACTAAACCAGGTTAGTTTACTAAACTGGTATGGTTAGAGTACAGGGGGACACAAAACATTTGTACCAAAATGAGGAACTTGAGTTTCTCCAAGCACTAAAGTTACACAGTTTCCATTTTGTTTAACAGAATCTGCCAAAAATTGTAAACTTATGCCCTGTAACTTAAAATGTTGTGTATATATCATAGTTTATTTTATGAATAATGTTTTTGGAACACTGTTTTGGCTGCAATAAAAATGATTTTGAAATTATAATTGAAATTAAAGTTTAATGGAGAGCTGTCCCATAAAATTTCCGTTGAGGGAAAATGGGAAAGAATGAGATGATTTTGCTTGCTTGTTTAGTATATATTGGGATTTACTCATCCTTTATACCATATTCAAGATAGCTGGTATTTAATGCCTCCCCCTCACCCCAAGGAGAGTATGATCCAAATAAGGAAAAACTTATAAACTTCTTTCCCTGTAAATCACAGTCATGAGAAGTTTTGTTTCATGTTGGGGATATCTATTTTTTTATTTCCTTTTTCTTCCTCATCCAAAACACATAGGGATGAGGTGTGGATTGTTTTTTTTATGGAATAAATATGTTATATGTTGACATGTGAAAAAGCAAGCAGTATTTTGGAAGTGAGGTGTTTTTGAGATCTTTGCTTCAGACAAGCTTACTTTAAAATTTACAAGCAAAAACTATCCTGTAATTTGCCATGGTGTTCAAGAATGTAGGATTATAGTTATTTTTAGCCCATGCTGCTCAAGAGTATGTGCAGTGCTGCTCCTTTTTCTTTTTTTTCAATAATATACCTAACATGTCTAACCTTTCTGCAACCCTTGTAACTTACTTTATTCTTCTCATTTTATGTAGTTTGATTTAATTTTGTAGTTGGAGTAAACTCATATTTCAAATGGATATTAGGAAGAGATTTTTTACAGAGAGAGTAATCGGACATTGGAATGTGCTGCCTGGGGAGGTGGTGGATTCACCATCCCTGGAGAATTTCAAGGCGAGGCTGGATGTGGCACTTAGTGCTGTGGTCTAGTAACGATGGTAGGGTTGGACTCGATGATCTTTGAGGTCTCTTCCAACCCAGTTGATTCTATGATTCTGAAGCCTACTGCTCTTTTTTTGACCCCATATAATCATGTTAGTTTTCCTAGGATACTCCACTGTTGTTATTGCCAAACTCAGTTGTACTGTTACCTGTTGCTGGTTAGGCTGAGTAGAAATCCTTACCAAAAACAAATGCAAATATTTCCCAGAAGTTAGCAACTATGAGGAACACACGTTGTAAATTTGCATGTAAATAATTCTGATAATATTTCACTGTCATTTGTTTGGTTAAATAACTTGTGCATCTGCTAATAGAGTGAGAGCACTGACTGTTTTCTGGATGTTTATTTAACATACTTATTTAGGTTGGAGTTTTGGAAAATAAAATTTAACTAGCTTTATTTCCTTTGCTATAATTTTGCTACCTGGTCCTTTTGCTTTAAAACAAAATCCTTTTGTCCCCCCTTCACCTAACACTCCTGCTTTTTCTTCAAAGTACACAGCTGCAGAGAGTATTACCTTTCAATACTCACTGGAAAGACAAAATGTATCACAAGCAATATGGTCATAAAGACTATATTAGCATTTCAGAGTGTTTAGGCTAAAATCCAGAAACTAGAAACTTGAAAATTAGATGATTTCTGCACACACATTCTCACAGGTTGAACATATTGTTCATACAAAACTTTTAATCCAAATACAGGTCAGACTTCCTGCTATCTTTGCAAGCACATGTCATGTGGAAAACATATTTACTCAAAGTCCCAAGGAACAAGCATTCATATATGCTTTACAGTAAAGTATTAGTGACTTCCAGGGACTGTGCTTTACATGTTTTAGTTTCGCACCTTTTGTAGTGTGTCTTCTTTCTCTGTAAAGAGGCTGTCAGACTCATGATGTACTCTGTCAGCTTGTGGAGACACTGTATCTCACATGTGGATGAGAAGTATGCCAAATCATCCTGTGAAAAAATGCCGGGAACTAGGAATTGTATATACGAAGCAACTTAGGTCAAGTTTGCAATATCTCCTCCACCAGAAATAACTGAAAAATCATAAAGTGAGACTTGTTTTAAGTCGTGGAGAAGTTTGTGGTCTCTGTACCTGTGAAGCTTTGTAAGAGCTTTAACCCTTTACTGCAGTAGGGTAAAAATTATTTTTAACTCTGTCCTACTGCATGGGGAAGACAGGATAATCTTTTTGTTAAACACTGAAGTCTTTCCTACTTGTCTTAAATGTCACAGATTTTTAATACAAATTAATGATGGTGGAATGAGATGTAAGAGCAAAAGAAAGCAGCAGGTTTCTAACAGAATCACCATTTGGTGCTCATCTGCCCTTGTTTAATTGCCCATTGTTCTGTGTATGACAGATGAGTCTTGAGATGTTTAAAGATTATTTCACCTGAATTTTAGTATTTACAAATTTCAGGTGCACTGTGATAAGTGTTTTTTGTCTACAAGTTTCTGAGCAATGCCTTGCAAATATGCAACCCATTAAAATATTGATCTTCTTTATGGTATAAAGGTTAAACCAGTGAGGGCACGGAAGCATGGAAGGCAAAACTTGGGGGAGACATGAAGACTTTAGGGCTGGTTATGAAAAGAAACAGGCCTCACATTTGAATTTGAGCATATGACCAAGCTTCACAAAACAGAAAAGCATGCACAATATCTCCCACTCTTGACAAATTAATTGTGATTTAACAAAACTTTCAGTATTTGAAAATCACACTTCACTTAATTTCAAACTGGGCTGCAAGAGTTGCTGCTTTGCATGTGCTTTGCTGTTGGATAAGTTGCTCATTCAGAAATGAAGTCAACGAATTTCCAGTACTTTCCTTTAAAATCTGCACTATTGGCCTAACTGTTGAATGGAAGCCTTACTTTTTTTTTTTTTTTAAATAGGAAAAGACACGGTCACTGAGTTTTGACTGTTGGTTTTTAGAGTAATCGTAGCAGTACAGAAAGAGGCAAGACTGGCCCAGGTACATCAGGTGTTACAGGTATCACAAACTATGCATCACTAGGATTATTTCTTAGTAGAACAATCCGTTATGGCACTGAGTATTAGTGACAGACAGTCAGGTTTGTAATAGGAATCTTTATTTCTCCTATTTCTCCCTGGGACAGTACTTCCTTACCACATTCTGCCTTCATTCCTACTGCACAGAACTCATTTAATTACTGATAGCTCTTGTTTGCAACTTCTCTCTGACTGAGTGATGGTTCTAATAATCCAGTTTATGCCTATAGGTCTTCATATTTGATACTGGAACACAAAATGACATTCCAGCCAAAAGTCAGAGACAATAGTACACTGTTTGTACTCTGAATTGCTAATTTGCCACCTCTACTTCAGTCTACGTGACTAACTTCCACAGTTCCTGTGCTAAGGGTTCCAACCATCACAGTGAAATTGCCAGCAAAATAAAATGTATTGCCCATAAATAATAAAAATGAATATTCATAATCCCAATATATACTTTGAAACTTGCTTCAGGCAAGTACTATACAGAATAATACTCATTAAAAAGGGTATTGCAAATAGAACCAGGTTATTTTGATGCATGGCTGTGCCTGCAGCCACTTGACTGGATGTTGATCTACTCTGCTGAGAAAACAGGTATCAAGGCTGGGAAATTGTACTGAATGAACTTCTTCCATGACTGCACTGATCTGAGAAACCTGTGCTTCATAGGTAGGTAAGAACGATTGTTAGAGCTAGATGAGACTGTATGATCTAGTGTGGATCTTGAAGTACATTTGTTAAGTGCTTTGAGTGGAGATTGATGATAAATTATCACTCAGCTGTAAACTGTCAATCCACAGCTTTAATTAAACTGCAGTAATTGGGGGGGCGGGAAGGGTGTATGTCTGTAATCTTCCAAAAAAAGGCAGCTAGGCATAATTTTAGCATTGTCCTTTGGGAACTTAGTCTCCATTTATTCAGCTAAGGCTCCTCCCACCTCATTCTAAGTACTCTGGTATCTGTTGCATTTCCCTGCCCTGTAAATGCATTAATGTAAAGCATCAGTCACTAGAGAATTACTCACCCGTAGTCTGCCCCTGGGGTAAGTTGTAGATGGGCAGTCTACCTCCTGGTTTTCCAGAGGAGCTGATGTGGGGAGGTGAGGGATGGACCTCTGTTTGCCCAGCAGCTCTGCTGCTGCATGGGGAGGTTCTGTGGGCAGCCCTGCCCTGCTCCAGGACACCCGCTGAGTGAGGTGTACCTTAGAGAAGCACAGTCACAGGTAAAC